ACGTTATTTTTACCTGGAGAAATGCACCCAAATTTTGTTGTACAATGTTTCACTACTATAGTCATTTACTACTTTTTTCATTGACTCAGGTTATCGTGATTCGATGCAAAAATGTGCGAGTGATGAAAAACTTTTACATTTGACTATAAGGGTAGAGATACTTTTCCACAGAAGCCTACATGTCTAAAAAGAAACTGCATCTGGATCTCTATTTTCTGCATCTCATCATCACTCTCCAACACACACACACACGCACACACACACACACACACACACACACACACACACACACACACAGCTGCCCCACATCGCAGCACCAACAGTAAACACAGACAGGAAATGTCCTTCAACAGTTCTCGCTTATCAGCGGCCAACATGGAACCACATCGGGAGGCTTTCGAACAACAAAACCCATATTTGAGTCTGACCTTCTCGTTGCCGTTTTTGTTTACTTCCTTCTTTTTACGTCCCCCAACTGTTTTGACCGAACTGCTTCTTCCTTTTATCAGCGCTCGGTAGAAGCTAGGCTAACGTCACTTTTGGCTTTTTCACAAACACACGTCACTGCTAAAAGCTTCATCGAAGTTTCAAGATGGAAAGCCATGTTACTGTTTCTTCGCCACGTTTAGAAAATGTGTTTGAAATCTCCTCTTAAGGCAGCGAGCATGAAATCTGTCCAACAGTAGCAACTTTATTCCAGTTTGTCTCCACAACATAGAAGGCAAACCTATTAGTTCACAAGAGCATGATGCTACTACCTAAAGCTTGTGACCATAGACAATTGTAAGAACGTAAATCGACCAATGACGTCGTGATCTTCACCTTTCGGTTCAATCCACACAATCCACCTCCATTTTCTCTTCGTTCCTGAACAAAACCCTGAGATACCTGAACGTCTACACTTTGTGTCGTTCAGCAGACGGAATTTGATTGTGGCTTAAGCTAAAAGATGTTTTCCTCTTGATGCTGATAGAAGAAGTGAAATCAGATTACGCTTTCGTTCCGACCTGATTGATCCCTTTGTCTCTTTGTTGACCATGCAGTGGACTGTGTCCGTCACTGAAAGCCCAGCTCTGCTTTTTTGAATTTGGTCACACAGAGCCAGATCTCCTTTAGATACTGTGTAGGACTAATGATTTCTGTAAACTCTCTCTTCTGTTTTGATTTCTAACTCTCACCAAGAGGCACGTAGACGCTGTGCATCCTTGAGCATAATCGATCTCACAGTTTCCACTTGAGGACTTCATCTCTGACTCCAGTGGAGCGATAAATGTCCTGCAGATGCGTCACGACTGTGAGCCAACGGATGATGTGATTATTTACCATGCGGCTGTGCTGGTGGTGGATTTCCCACAAGGCCAAGCAGTCGTCCGGTCGCTGTGTGTGTGAAAGGCTTCATGGGAAAACAAATCAGGAGAGACATTGATAACTCAGGAGGGAACATTTAAAGAAGTGCCACCTCTTTCAGAGCTTTATGTTCTGTTTCTTATGTTTCAGATAAGTTATTCTACAGAGAGATACACAGGAAAACAACTTGTTTAAGTTCAGACACCTCTAGCTTGCAGAAGAAGGGCGGCATCACAGCAAACATTACTAACGGTGGCTGCTTTTTTGCGTTCTAGTGTTTTGGGGGAGTCTCGTTTCCTGCCCGAGGCGCAGCGGGGTTGCTAATAAGTGCGAATCTGAAAAGCTCATGACACTTCGTCTAGCCTACCACTGCCCAAAAAAAAAAAAAAAAAAAAAGGTCTCAGACTAAACAGGCGAATTCTGCAGAAAACCCCTTCCACTCCAGTCGTCTGCGATCACTGTCAAGGTCTTAAAGGTCGGGGGCGGGCGGGTGTGACAGGAGGGCAACAGCCAACCAAGCAGCCCCACGACACACACGCTCACTTCCGGACACACACACCCTGTCAGAAGCATTTAAGTAACCAACTAAGGGGTTGATTTTGTATTTGCAGCACTAAAAACCACAGGATTTTTTTCTTTTTCTCATTTTTGTCATGTGCGCTTTTGAAAGGCCTGCACCGTCCTGCACCTCTGAGTAGATGGCATGACAAGAAATACTGACACTTTAAAAACATTTTTTACAGCATTTGCATTAATAAAAACATTTCAGATCTTGCTACAATAAAATTTCACATGAAAAAAAAAAAAAATAAAAAATCTCACAAACCTTGAAATCTACTATAAATGTAAATGCAAAGAATAGTTTGACTATCTTTAACCAGAAGTGAGATTGGTTACCATTGTGCTTTTGAAAGGTCAGGGACATCACTTCAAAACAGATTTTTGGACGCTTGAACATAACAGTCGGGCAGCAGCTGCAGAACCTGCTCTACACATGTTAGCTAAAAACAAAAAACAAGTTTGTCTTGTTTTAAACTGTTGAAAGAACTTTGGTTGTTTTCACTTTCATCCAACAAAGTTCCATCTTGAACACTAAACGCATGGATTTAAATGTATAAAAATGGCCTCAGCAAATCTTTTCACTGCTCTTTTGTGCACTTGGTATGTGTGTGTGTGTGTATGTGTTTGTGTGTGTGTGGTTGGGAGGTCGGGGGGTTGGGTTCAGGTTGGAGCGTAGGGGCAGCTGGCAGGGACTTGCCAAGATGTCATGATTGTCAACTCATAAAGGAGCTGATCTCTTTAACAAGAAAGCTTCCCTCCTCCCCTGGATTTCTCAAGCTCAGGGCGGGGTAATGTGTGTGTGTGTGCATGTGTGTGTGTGTGTTCATGCGTACATGCCATCATATGTGGCGTGGTCTAGCAAAGAGGTGGAGACAAAGGCAGGATGTGATACAGCACTTCCTCATTCATCTCTGCTGGATCCTTGGCAGTGCAGAGAGCGCCACCTCTTGGCGAGCTGTTGCCACGGCGGCGGCATGCTGGTAAAATTCCACTCCCCGAGATAAGGAAAGCACAAGTGCAAACAGGCCACAGTGAAATTACTCAATAAGATCCAAGAAGCCTCATGAGTGTGTGTTTTTTTTTTTTTTTTGAGCATTCCGGTCATGTCTGGCTTTGATGAAATTCTGCAAGAACGTCACGCTTACCAGCCGAATCGGTTTGCTTTAGTTTATCATACATACATTCGGTGCTGAAGAACCCCACCCATGTCAACTGTAAAGTTCAAGGCCCTCAGGCAAACTGAGAAGTTGACAAAATCCCCTTAAAGCCTCTAAGATGTAACGATGCACATTCCCAGCCTCGGCGTGTGCTCTCTGGTCTGGAAGTGTAAACATTAACGCTGCTAAAAGCTTCCTGGAAGGGTTAGGCTTCCATTTGGATCTCTGAGGGCTGCTGGGTGAAGACTTGAGAGGGCCGGAGCGATTAACCAAAGAGACGCTGGACCGGTTTTCCCCCCAAGGCCCTCCGCTGGCACTGGAAGGAGCTACAGGAATTCTGAAAACAAATGTTTTAATCTAAAGTTAACACGAGTGACGTCAGTCTGTTTATGTATTTTTTATGCAAGTGTGTCCTTTTTGGCATTTAGCTCATCTATGTTACATTGCAACCTTACATGCAAATTTCCAGATTTCTCAAATATTTTTTTTTCTAACATTTTTCACCACTTGAGCGCAAAGCTTAGAGTTTCAGCATCATTAAAAAATCGTAAAACGACACGGTCAAGAAGTTGCTTTCCTAAAATGTCTCTTTTGTGATATTTGATTTCTATCAGGACTGTCATTAGCCTTGAATGTGCGATTAATTCCAGACAAACAATGAGTTATCTCTGCATTAGTGTCTGTAATGTAAAAAGCAGCCGAAAAATGTGGGAAGTTGTTAGCCTATTAGCGACAGAAGCAAATTTATGGTATTTAGTCTCTTGTGCAAGAGGGAAAAAAAGCTTGTTATCTGAAGAGAAATAGATTGGCCGGAGGGAGACAGTGGTCAGGGTTGCATGGGGGAGTCAAGCTTCAATGACTAAATGAGAGCTGAACATCTCGACCGCAGCCAAGGAACAGTCAGCCAGAAGCTCAACTCAAGTCTTTCCTTACTTCAAATTAAACATTTTCCTTCTAAATGTGCGTTAGCTTCTTGCAAACTGTTGGTATCCACGCTCAGAATGGCTTACTTTTGCAGATAAGATGTGAAATGAGGTACACGAGTTGTGTTTTTTTTACCCAGAAGGCTTTTGGGTTTGGGCCAACTTAATAAAACATGAATGTTTTGCAACACTTGATTTTTATCTTCCGCTCGTTTCCATGCAGTCCTTTACCTTCATATCACTGAAAACCTACCTTTTGGCCGTCCGACTCCTCTGCTTTATATAAGATTTCATCAAACTCAAAATCTTAAAAGTTTAGGTACAAGTACATGCAAACGCTTCGCGCAGAAACATCTCAGGCCACAGAGGATCCTAAACACTCAATCATCTTTCTGTTTCATCACATATTGTTGCGCCACGGCCTAAAGACGTGCCTGGTCTTGTTATGAGATACCGTTTTGAATTCCTATCTGTTTTCTGCTTGTGTAAGGCAGATGTGTGTTTCTACATGCTGGATTCAACCGTTTGGTCCAAGGTTCATGTAAATGTCTCCAACATGGTCATATTTATCCAGAGTAAATGGGGTTATGCTCATTTCCTTAAAGGTTATGGTACATTATCTCCTTTTTTTATTGGCCACTTTATTTTAGTTGATGTCTGCACACACCCCGCAGCATGACTAATCCTACCAAGTTTTTGCTAACACAGAAGGTAAACAGAAACCTTTCAGCCAGCTGTGGGAAGAACCTGAACACACACACGTAAATCCCTTTGGAAAAGCTCTAATCTCTCAGCATATATTTTGACAAATAACACAAAGAAAACAAGGCATCAAGGTTTTGTTGGGATACAATTACAGTTCAAACAATGAAAAACTCCTTTATGACTGTGTACTTAATCCAAATTGGTCCATTGAGCATAATATCCACATAACGACGCATTTTACCAACTCATCCTACAACAACCTTTATTGCCAAAGTGAAGTGAACCTACGGCTCCATCTAGTGGTAAATTAATGTTATATGTTTTGGGTTTTTGTTTTTACAGACACAACATGGCTGCTCCCATACAGACGTTTTCTGGAATACGGTTCACAGGAAAAAGCAGCAAACCATGAAAAAAGCCAGGTAATATAACCGAAACATTTGTTAGTCAGTATGTAAAAAAAACATAGAAATGCCTCCAAAGAGATTTATAGTTTTTGTTTCTAGATTTTAAGACGCAATATTCAGCACATAAACATTGAATACATTCTTGAATTCAATGTTTACCTCTAAATAAGAGAAGTAAATTCAATAGAATTACAGTAAAGAGAAGAAATAACTTCAGTAGGTAATAGTCAAATGTACACATTAGCTGAATAAGGGGAGTATTAAAAATGTAAATGTAAAAGAAACGCATTTCTTTGCTGTGCTTTACAGATAAACTGAAAGTTTAAGATCTTAGCTTTTACAAACAGGAAGGCATTCAAGGTGGATATGATCCATTTCCCTGCTTGGTGCTGGGACTCTGGCAGCAGCATTTCGGTCTAATTTTTACAGACACCTATAAAGACACCGCGACAACAAATCCAATCTACTGAAAATAAAAGCATCCGCCAGTTTCTCTGTATCCTGTTATGACATGAAAAGCCAAAATGGTGGCAACACCTTGTAGGATGATGGTTAATTTTATTATATTTTGGATACCTTTTACATCCTGGCACAGTTGTGAAAAGAGATGTTGTGATCGTCTTTAATCATAGTTAGTGGGAGGCGAGAACCGAGCCTTGTAATATTTGTGGTTTTATACAGATATTACTGTCCGATCTGTTGAGATGAGCTGCTATGTAACGTTTGTATTGTTTCATTCTCAGCTTCGTCTGTCTACAGATGCAATGGAAACAAAGGAAGTGATCCACTGTGCTCTTCAGCTAGAGAAGTTGGCTGCAGAGCAAAGCTTTGAGAGCATCTCAACTCTGCTTGATGATCTTGATAGACGTAATGTATCTCCAGAGCAGCTGGAAATGACGGACCTAGTCAAAGTCCTTTATAAACTCCTAAAAACCTGCAGGGAGAGCAGCGTGAGGAAAATGGCGAAGAGCCTACTGTCGAGGTGGAAGAGACAGTACGGTAATGAAAGGCGGGGAAACTCAGGAAACTCCCATGCTGTTTCTTCAGGACTAACAGAGGATGGGGGAGTTTCCAAAGATTCAGCACAAACAGGTGGAAATGAGGAGGAGAGAGCATCAGGACAGGAAAGTGAGACTCCCACAGACGAGACAACGTCTCCCTCTTCTGACTCAGTGAGAACCAAATGTGTTCAGCTCCTGCTGGCTGCCCTCCTCCACCCTGAACCTCCCGATGGAGACAAGGCAGCAGAGCTGGCGGAAAGCATTGAGCGGCACATCCACCGTCTCCACAAAGCCAACCACCTCAAATACAAAGCCTGCGTGAGGAGCAAGGTGGCCAACCTGAGGAATCCCAAAAACGGTCATCTACGCCAGGGCCTCCTGAGCTGCTCGCTGGCGCCAGAGACCTTTGCCCGAATGTCTGCGGAGGAGATGGCCAATGCCGAGCTACGCCAGCTTCGGGAGGAGTACTCATCCCGGGGTGTGAGCGAGAGGCAGCTTCCCCAAGGGTTGGAGGGTACGCCGACGCAGAAGGTCCGCTGCAAACGATGCGGAGGATCAGACTGCAGGGTGACACAAGTGTCCAGAGGTGCCCTGTTTTTGCCCGCGTGGGTGAGGCGTGGCGGCCCTGACGAGGACGCAATGACTTTTGTTACCTGCGGCGGGTGTGGCCAGCAATGGTACCACAGCGGCTGGGTGTGCCTCTGAATCCAAAAAGCCACGCTGACTATCTAGTGTTGACATGGTGAGGAAGTTCATGAAAGCAGAAATCAGTTGTTTTTCTTTTAACTTAAAGTTTTAACAAGGTTGCCTGCTTGTTTAAAAGTCCAAAGAGTGCTGCTTCATCTTTGCTAAAGCAGAGTCACTGCTAACTGGAACCAAGACAGAGTCAGTCATCATATCCTTACTGATTCATTTCCTGCCTCTTCCAGGCCTAATAGCCCTTCAGTGGTTTACATACTGAACAGTGGCTGCTATTGCTAACAGCTTCCTGGTAAGCTGTGTGAATTAAACGCCTCGAGGAAATCTTCATACTTCTTTGAACTTTCCACATTTTGTCAAATTCTTCTATGGATGGCGCCCAAAGCAATTGATTATGTAACTTATCAAAAACATGAACAAGGAAATATTTTTGTATATTACTATCTGACTAGTTAAACATATATATTTTAACCATATTTTTGTGAACATTTTCAAACAGCAGTATCGATCTACAAAAAGTTATGACAGAATTTTTTGTTGGGCTATCTGACATCCCATAGTCCAGCACGCCCTGGGTAGAGAGCCAAATAATCTACTTTATTCCACACATTTAAGTGTATTTTATTGTGATTTGATTTGACATGATTTTGAACAGGAAGACAATTTTTTTTTTCGATACTTCTTTGAGTCTGGACTTTGACTGGGCCATTCTAACGTGTGATCTAAACTGTTCTCCTGGAAGGGGAACATCCGGCCCAATCTCAAGTCTTTTGTAGCAGATTTTTCTTCCCAGATTGTCATGTGCTTAGCTCCACCCATTTTCCCATCATGTCTTACCAGCTTCCCCATTCCCGCATCACGATGCTGCCACAAAAACATATGCAAATTATGTCTCTGGGTCACAGTGGTTGTGCAAATGCCTTATAAAAATGGAAGCAAAAAAAATCTTCTGGCCTCTCACAATTGCCCTTTCATTTGTAGCAAACTGAATCCAGTGAATGAGACATGTGATATTCGAGCCCCGAGGACGATCAGGACCGACTCGTGTCAGAGAATGCGCCGCCACTCCTGCCAGTTTTGGGGTTACTCTGCCCATCATCTCTGTTTCTTTTTGAATTATCTCTCATTTATTTTGTTGAATAAAGGATTTCATCCTTTTAGTCACTCTGGATTGTCGTGTTATTGCTCCAAGAAGCATGAAATAGGGAATGACGGCCAAGATCTTTCAAAGATCACCACACGGAAAACTGGTAGTAATAGCATTTAACACTTTACATTGGTTTGCAGTGATTCAGCTGATATTTTCCAAACTTTTAATGTGATGTACGAGTTGCATCTCATGTTAAAGCCTGAATACATTTCAAATTTATTTAATTATTTCACTGAATATGTTTGCAAAGCGGCTGAAACATTATTGTTTTGAAAAGTACCGACACATTTATGAGTTGATATTTGTTGTTCTCTTGTATTTTGAAAAATGAATCAGACGAATGAGCCTCCAAGAAAACATTTTTTCCCCTCCCTTAATAAATAAAATCAACATTTAAAAACTGCTTGGGTGAATTCTTTATTTCATCATTACACATATATTTTAATAATAAACATGATGCTTATGGTTTAGAAATTGGTTTCATGCATTTGGAGCATTTAAAGTGAATAGCAGTTGTTTTACCAGCTGTAAAGAAAAATACATATGTGTATATTGAATACTCTTTGGTGAACTTAAAGAAAAATAAATTTTTAGAATTCATATTACTTTGAATCTAGTAGGTTTGACCCTTGAAAGTGAGGTTATATTATAACTTATTGGAAGTAAACTTAAGTGTCTTGCGCTTCTAAATTCTTGTAATTTTACTTCTGCTTTTATCATAACTGTGAAAAATTACGAGACTATGACTGTTACAGATTTTTTTTCCCCCACCACAAAATGTGAACCACGCCACGCATGTATTGGATTAAGTTCCCGCATCAGGGAGGAGGCGGGCGTGACCGTCAGCGGGTCATATGAGCGTCATCAGCCGCTCCTGTGCTTCACAGCAGCGGGGACACACGGAGCACCATGTCGGCGCTGGATAACTGCGCTCTGCCGGGGTAAACGGGAGGATGTAAACCGCTGGAAGCCTGCGATAAGCCCCATAGGAACAGGTACGTCTACTGAGGAAGAAAATGTTGTGTGTTGTTGTTTAAATGGGACACTTCCTGAAGTTTTAATCTATGAAGTCGTAAACGTGACGAGCTTTTGATGAAGTTTCCATTGTCGGACGGACTCCAGTCTCTTTATTTTCATCATTTGTGGTAAAAATATTAACTCGCAGTAACATGTTAGTTTTGAAGTGATAATTTGTTTGTTTTGATTTAGTTTATTTTAGCACATAATTTGAACAACAATGAATTAACTGTCTGTACGCACAGCCGTTCTGAAGCAAAGCAAATTATGTCTCTGATTATGTCCCGCCAGGCCAGCTGGGGGCAGCCAAGAGCACTTAGATTTTTACGCAATACAGATTTCAGACCTTGTTTTGTTTCAAGTTGCTTTTCAGAGTGAGGCAACTTTTCATAACATTTTTATTATTTGTTTAAATTATTTCTAAATGGTTGTTAAATAAATTAATGCTTATAGTGTGGTGAAATTGCCATGGTAATATTTTTTTTTTAATCCACTCTCGATTTTAAAATAAATATAAAGAAGTATTTTTAATTCATAAACAAACTAATTGCGGTTTTAATCTTACAGCTAACTTCATCACAGGTTCACTGGTTAGCCATAAAACCATATTTTTTTTCTTTATTTAAATTCATCATTCAAGAAAGAATAAAAAATTGTGGTGCTGGTGGCTCTTAAATCAACATCCACTTAGGTCCCCATTTAACTTTGGGCTGACTTGTGCAAACAAACAAAAAAAAAAAAAAAGCTTCAAGGGATTTCCAACCTCAAATACTTACCCAAGTTATTTAAAGTGTAAGCATTAACCAGCATTCTTGCTTCCTCATAAACAGTTCAAAACAATCACATGTCGAATCAGAGGCACTTCTCTTGAAACTGCAAGCCAAGCTTTAACCTCGACACTGGTGGGTAAATCATTACTCTGCAGTTTCCGTGGGATTAAAAATGAAACCTGACTTGTTGCATTTTGAAGGTTTAACCAGGGTTTAATTACAGTCACGCGTCCAGTTTAGTAACGGCAATCATGTCACACAGAAGCTGCTGGTAAGAAGCACATGACTCCCGAGTGGGAGGCCGTGCACTTCTGCTTCTGCTGCTGTCTCTAGAGGAAAGGACAGAAGCAGCAGCAGGTTTCAAGGCTCCAAGACAAAGAGATCATTTACCCACTGGTATTCGTTCCGCTGCCAGTTCATGTGACGCTTCGTCTTTATGGGCCTTCAGTTTATCTCTTCGGTTGGGTTATATACAGACATCTTGATGATATCCTGCCACAGTCATTACCAACTGGAAGCTTCACATTGGACCTGTTAACCCCATGTAATAACACTTTTTCCTTCCATTCAACTTTCCATTAATATAGTTGGATAAAGCACTGTGTAAAATACCAGCTGTTTTAGTAATGATCTGTTATTGCAGCCTATCCAGGGTGTCGAGTGTTTGTTGGACAGCTGCCAAGTTAGCAGCATAGCATATGCTAGCACCTCAAATCTGACCTTTTACACAGATTTAGTTTTTCAAAATGTCTTCAGGGTTACTTTAGATTTGGTGTATATATTTTACTATCATAATATTAGAGTTTTATGGCCTTGTTGCACTGTTATGATCAAAAACTGCTGGTTTAAATTACTTAAATGCATCTTTATGTGATAATTAAAATCTTTAAATGCTAAAGGGCAAAGGATGTTTATTTTAGTTCTTTCTTTCACATTTTTTTCTATCTGGTTTAAACTGAATTAATCATGACAAGTTATCTGCTCCTCAGCTTGTCCATTGATTTTTATCCCGTCTTTGTGTCCTCAACCTTTAGTAATTAAATGGTTGCATAAAACCACTTTATTAGTTTTCCGCAGTTAATGCAGGCGTTGGTAAAATGTTTCGGTTCTGATCTGTCTTTTTTTTTAGAGGTTTCTGCTTGAATGGTTCTGCTCAGAGGAAAGAAGTAGTTTCTCACTGCTGAGTTTTTTTTTTTTTTTTTTTAAATACTTGTGGCACGCACAAAGATCCTGTGATCAGCATTCATGTGATGCACCACACGGATTATTTCATGCCTAGCCTATTACACATAGTGTATATGTGTGGCATAGTGTAAGATCTGGACTGTTAATAGGATTATCTGGTCTGGTTGAGTGAAAGGAAACATGTAAGCAGTTAATGTAACATGGTAGACGATAAAGTCAAAGCAGTTTGTCCTAATCTAAACTTTCTGTTGAAGGTCAAACAGCATTTTTTTTATTATTATTATTATTTTTTTTCAGATTAAATCAGTCAGAACAAACTATGGAGTACTTCTGCTTTGGTTTCCAAACTGCTTTCCAGCTAGGAATATCTTATTATTGATACAGAAAAAAGCAATTATGGAAGTAAAATAATAAAATAAAAGAAGTAAATAGACATGTTATTTTAAATTAATGCACTTTAGATAATGCCTTACTTCACTGTTGTATATATAAATTCCTAAATGTTCATGTAAAATACAGTTGTATGTAGTAGAGCATAACATTTGGCTATCGGGTTGTACGTGAAGGTAATTGGATGCCTTGTTCCCCTATAGGTCCAACTCCTGGTTCTGGTTCTGGTGTCTTCAGAGCTCCTATTTGGCCTCTTGGTGTCCAACCCTACTGCAGCCATGATGTCCAAGTCCGCTCTGCTGAAGGTCATCCTCCTGGGTGACGGCGGCGTTGGCAAGTCGTCCCTCATGAACCGCTACGTCACCAACAAGTTCGACTCGCACCTCTTCCACACGATAGGCGTGGAGTTCCTCAACCGAGAGCTGGAGGTGGACGGGCGGCGGGTCACCCTACAGATCTGGGACACGGCAGGACAGGAGCGCTTCCGCAGCCTCCGCACGCCCTTCTACCGTGGCTCCGACTGCTGCCTCCTCACCTTTAGTCTGGACGACGGACAGAGCTTCCAGAACCTCTCCAACTGGAAGAAGGAATTCGCCTACTACGCCGACGTCAAGGACCCCGACAGCTTCCCGTTCGTGGTGCTGGGCAACAAACTGGACGTCCCCGAGCGCCAGGTATCCGGGGAGGAAGCCCGCAAGTGGTGCCGGGAAAACGGAGGGCACCCGTACTTCGAAACGAGCGCCAAAGACGCGACAAACGTAGCATCGGCCTTTGAGGAGGCAGTGCGTCGCATTCTGTCGTCTGAAGATAGAGACGATCACCTGATTCAGACCGACACAGTGAACCTGCAGAAGAAGCCTCGCCCTGAGCCCAGCTGCTGTTAATCTGAGGGACTCCGGGGGTTTTGGTTGGGCCTTTTCACTGATGCTACTGTACAGTTCTGCATGCTACTATTTAAGCTTAAACCTGGATCAACATTTTAATGTCAAGTTTTAGCTCAACAATTAAAACTACACTACCTTTCGTTCACATATACTGAAGTTATCTGTTTTGTTTGTATCAGGGAAGCAATAAAGACCAAAAAAAACTGATTAAAATATGCTGATGCCTACAAAAAACAGAAGTTGAGATTATTTTGTGTTCATAGTTGCAGAAGTAGTGCTCAGATTTATGTTAACACTTGGACACCCACTGGATTTAGTTTTATTCTCTCCTAAATTAATCATTCTTGTTTTGTATTGGTGTAAAAAAACTGCATAGAACCCCAGAGTTCTCATTTCTGAATAACTCGTAGTGAAATTATGTTTTAAAGAATGAGATTTTTGGCTACATTAGAGCCCAATATAAAGCGAACAACTGTCATATCTCTTAAGTATGAGAGTTTTAGCTACATTATACTCCAATATGAACCGAACAACTTTTTACTCTAAATTTGCTGTGAAGTTGACACAAATTTGTAGAATAATTCAGGTAACTTGCTTTCGTTTTATTTTTGTGCAGTACCCTTTTCGTCCACATGGTTGCGCCACTGTTTTACAAAGTTCATGTTCAAACCAAGTTAAAATCGGAAGACTTAAAGCGTTATCATTGCATTATCAGAAACACACACAACGTTTTAGCTCTAAATGGTAAAGTTTCATTGTAGAATTAAAAGGAACCATGAAAACAATCGGGTCTTTTTAATAAGGATGACTAATACTAAAGATTAGTCAATAAAGAGCGGTAAATATGGCAGACGTGTCTTAAATTAAATTAAACATTCGGCAATTTCCTGACTTTTATGTCACAAAACCGTCCCCGTTTTACTGCAATAGGTGTTTCCTCGTAACTTTTTTGATATTTTAAATAAAATCCGCTGGACATCGACAGGTAACAACAATGATTGGTCACAGGTGGCAGCAATTAGATTAAGTGACGTCACCTCTGACGTCATTGGGGAAACTGGAAAAAAACAACGCCAGGATTAAGAAGTAAGTTTACTTTTGCTTTAGCAGATAAAAGTTTTAAACAAAAGATTTTTACTTTATTGCAGTTGATAGATTTGGTCAAGTTGAGCCACAGATTTATCGGTAGGAAAGATTGTGAAAAGCGATAGAACCAAATGACTCGTTTTGGTTTTTTAAGCTAAAGCGCACCGGAAGAGTTGTTTTCTTTGATAAATACCAATTATTAAATAAAAATGAAAGCAGCAGGTGTAGCTATTTATTTAGTATATGCTAAAAATAGAATTAGACAACTATTCAAGATAAATGCATTAATTTTTAGTAATAAAGAGGAAGCAGAAAAATAAAACGATCTCAGTAAGGTTAATTTTTAAATGGCACTTTTTGATAAAGTCAAAATTATGAACTTCCATTTGCTTTTTAAAGATAATTTATGTCAAATCAGCCACATTTAATATCAGTAATTCCGTCTGTAAAGATAATTTTGTGTCTAAAAATTAAAATCTGCTCAGTAGAATGTGGGAATCTGCATAACTCATACATTCTTTAATGTAAACATTTTTCTTACACTGATTTGTACTAAGAAATTTACAATATTGATTGTTTATTTTTCTTTGGAAAATTTGACATTTAATGTGTATGTACGGAGAAGTTAGTAAATGTATAGAATAATTTAAAAACAATATACTTGCTCCTAGTATACAATGTAAAGTATAATGCAATCAGAATCAATAATGAAATTCATAGATGTGCAACTTTTTTGTACAATTTTTATTTTTATTTGTAAGTAAAAAAGTGACATTAATCTGTAACCCTAATCTGTAACTAATGACCATGTAAGATTTATCTGATGCCAAACAACAAAAATGGATTCAATAATTAAAACGAGTTGGCGTTCATTGTATATATTTTTCTATATTATTTCATAAATATATTATCAGAAATGTTATTTAATTTAATAATAAGCCTCTGACTACCTTTGTCTCCCGCTAATTTAAGGTTATAAGATGTATCCAGTGAATCCAAAAGTGTTTACACTGTGAAACAGAGTTAAAGTAGCTGCCCTATATTTAATTAATATTTAGATTCTTGCAAGTCGGGTTTTTGCTTTTCTTTTTGCGGTGAACCTTAGACACATTTTGTAGCTCCCGACTGTTTTGAATTCGTAAATTTTCTGTAAAAGTCACAAATCGAAGAAAGAGGCAAAGTACTCAGTCGTCACGATAATAAAAAATATCGGTTTTACTAGAGAAGGTTACAAAAATCACCATATAGGAGTCATAGAACTATTTTCAACTTAAAAAAAAAAGAAAAAAAAAGAAAAACCCAGAATGAAACACCTACAGGGACTACAATGCCATCAAAGTACAATGGAGTTTTTCTTTAGAAAAGAGCAGGGGCGGAGAGAGGGGAGGGAGGAAGGGGGCAAAACACCGCCTACCATAGTTGTCAGTACAAATGACTACACATCACCTGAAAAAACTGCGAAGACACAGTCATGTCTCCTTCATGCAAATAACGAGGAAACAACAACACCCTGACACGCATCGTCGGCTTATAGGAAATTGAAGTTTTGCCTTTTACATCAACCTGGCGGCAAAGCACGGATATTTATTCAACATAACACACATGGCAATATAGTCCTTTTTTTTTATACAGAATAGACAGCTGCGCACATGGACGATACTGACATGCTTCATCTCATCAAAATTCATAAAATTTCTCTTGTCTACTTTTTTCTTTTTTTTTAAGGGTTAACTAATCGGTCATGATTAATATAGAATATAGGCCATGGTTATTGAAACACATCTGGTTATAAAATTAATGTATGAAAATTCCTGACTTGTTTTATTCAGTGTAAACATCCAAAACAGTCTTTGTGGCTTGTATGAGAGGCATGGCATTCAAAAGAAAAAGGAGAAAAGAGAAAAGAAAAGAAAATAGTGACTTTAGTCACGCATTTGGCTAAAAATAAGCACAAACATGTTCCATAAAATACTTAACCACGAGAACCCAGCTGCCTAAAATGGATAAAGAGAATAATAATAATAAAAAATAATAATTCCCATATTTTTTCTTCACATTTTAAGATGTATACGTCACAATCACCTCAAATCCATCATATAATCATGACTGAACTGTGTCCCTCTCACGACATATCATTGAAGATGTTACATTACAATTAGTATATCAAATGCAGAACTAGTATTTGAGTGCTAAACACATTTCTCAAAGGGTACGTTTACATATATTTTGTTAAAGAAAAATAATAATAAAAAAAGAGCATGTTAGAAATAAAACATGGATTGTGTTCTCCCCGTTTTGGGGGCGTGGGAAGGGGTGTGGATCAATCTTTTTTTTTTTTTTGGCGGGGTGATTCTGCTATTTACAGGTGAATTTAGTTCCCTGAAAGGAGGAACCGGTGGGTTGAGTTCACACAGGATAAGATCAGTAATCAGGTCGGAGTTTAAATGGTGAATGTTTTGGAAATAAAACACGAGTCGGATTTGGTTTGATACCTGAGGTGTGTGTCTTTTTTTTTTTTTAAGACCTGGATGTGCAGCGCCCTCCACATTTAGAGACAGCCTTGCTAAGGTTGTAAAGAAATAAAAAATAAAAGTCTTTAGTCGCAGGAAATTAGAAAAAGTCCATTTGAGCACCATTCATTCACTGCGTAGATGTAAAAAAATAAAAATAAAATTACAAAATCATTGACCTGACAATTATCTCTAACGTTTCTAATAAAATAAATGAAAAAATAAAATAAAATTAAACTTAACTTCACTTTAAAGTGTCTGACATTTTTCCCACGCAGTCAAAAACTAACTTAAAACAAAAACAAGTTTTTAAATTAAATTTACCTTCTGAATGATAAACTGAACATGTAGTATTTTCATAACATAAACAAAATAGTCTAGAAAAGGGCAAAATAAAAACATAAAAATGGGTTTTGCATGCTTGCCTTAAAAAGGGCATCAAATTCTCTATTTTTAGGAGTCAATTAAACATTTCTTATTTAATGTTTAATAACACAGTGCCAAAAAGCAAGTGTCCGTTTGCTTCTCTGTTGGTGGACCGCAAACAAAAATGACACAAAGTGCCTAAAATGACCTACGACCCTCAGTTTGGTCTCCGTCCCATTTTGTCAAATGGGATTTGATAAAGATTCCTGTTTGCATTAGCTAAATTAGTCCTAAAATCGCCTAAACTTACCCACATGTACAGCCAAAGTAATAACTAAAAACGGCATCCCCATGGCATGATGCTGCCACCACCATACTACATAATAATAATAATAATAATAATAATAATAAATTTTGACATTTTAACCACTTGTGCCAGTAATTGTGGAGGGCGCCGCCTTTGACTTTTATTTCAGCTGGTGATGAATGTAACAAAAAAAACAAAAAAAACAAAACTCAAACGGTCCTAAAAAGAGACATTTGGCGAGCCTCCTTGCATTCTTTCACGGCCAGATGAGAGGACTGGTTCCATATTTATGACCTCTTAGCAAGAAAACTTAATCTTAATCCAGGACATGGAAGCAGATAAACTGTTAACGGATCGTATAAGAAAAGTAGCGCTTAAATATACTTACTCAAATGCACAGAAATCCTTGAGATACCACATGGTTTTTCATTCTTTTAGGGGTTTATTCCTGGAGGGGGGAAAGAAAGGGCTTGTCTTGCTCAAGAGATTTTATTCTCCCCCATTTTAATTTATTTTTAAATAGTGCAACAATGTTCGGAGCAATAGCAATAAAACGTCAAAGTGTTGGGTTAAGAAAAACTAAAAGAAGAAAAGAATCTATGAGCCCAAACTCAAAAAGATCATAACAATACCTGGCATACTTTTCAGAGTATTTAAAAAAAAAAAAGAACATTCACACACATTCGCACAATATATTCATATTCATATATATATATATATATGCATATAAAACACCAAAAAACAGAGGAACTTGGTTGCTGTGGTGCTTCCCAGTGGCTGAAGCACACAGTGAACATTGTTTTTCGATTTTTATTCAGTTTTTTTTTTTTTTTCTTTTTTTGTTGTCGTTAGGAGCTATGTGTCGAGAGGCTGTGCTGGCTCAGGGCGCGAGGCCATCACAGCCGGGCCACGTTCACGAGCCGCCGCCCAAAAAGCACAGGGAGGGAGGAAGAGGAGGAGGCGCTTTGAAAACCAATGTACCGTACCTGAGCTCGACCCTGGATGGGGCGAGCCTTCACCGCTCTGAATCAGCCGCCTCCGTCTGGGGCCTGGCCGCTCTCCTCCCGACCCTCCAGCCTCTTCCCCTACCGGTGGTGAGAGCGCGCTGGCGCCTCGGAGCGGAAAGCGCTACTGGGTAAACGGAAGAGGATGGAGAATCAGGAGACCGGGGGGCTGTCGAACATGACCGAGGTGGTTTTGTTTTGTCGGGGGGAGGAAGAAGGGGGAGTTTGGGAGTGGTGGGTGCTAGGTGTTGCGGGATGGGTTTAAGATTCGGGGGAGAAGATGAGCAATGGCAAGAGAGGACGCTTTGTCCTTATGAGTAGGAGGAGGAGTTCTGGCCGTCCTTGGAGCGCGCCTCGGCCTCTAGGTCCTGGTCGTCCTTGGTCTTGATGTCCTGGTAGTCGTGCGTGGAGGCGGCGGTCTTCAGGTACGCCCAGTTAGCCGCTAAAATCATCAGGTAGTGGATCTGAGAGCACAGAGGGGAAAAAAAGTCGTTTTACATTTGACAACTCAAAAGTGCATTTTGGTCTCCATTAAAATGACTGCAGTTTGTTAAATAAAAGTATCGTTTGTAGGAAATGTGGGAAAGTTCAAGGTGTCTGAATATTTTTACACATTTAACTAAATTAAAAACAACTACATTTTGTTGTAATTTTGTTTTAAACTTTTACTTTCTCTTATCGTCACCTTTCTAAATCAGCTTCAAGCCTCTCACAATAAATTCTCCTCCTCAATCAAAGAGTCCGATAATAAGTAACCTACTGATGTAACTACACTGTGTTTCAGGCAACGTCCTCACTGAGAGGCAAGGAGTGAAGACTCTACAAAGATATCCTGATAAATCTGTTCATAGAGTTGAAGAAATATCACCGCTTCAAGCGCTGACCTGATGTTTTTCAGGTAAGAAAAACTTTTTTAAAATTTTTTTCATTGTGCTTGCTTCTTGCATGTCCTGTCATCATAAAGCACCTGCCGATATCCGTGGATTTTCCTCCTACACTAAACACTAAAAAGAATTGGTTTGTTTGACAGGAAACATTAATATCCTGTCATAAATAAGACCTAGCTAAAAAGCTAAGGCATGTTTTTGTCTTAGTGTCTGAGCCAAATGAACAAGAATGTCCTGGACTTAAAGGTACTAAAATATATATTTGTTCTCCCTAATTATGTTAAGTGTCATTAGTAACTATAGTAAATACATTTATTAGGCTAAAGAAAAAAGCTATCCAAAACAACCGGAGTAGATGTGAAAATGTAATTACCCTCCTCCTTAAATTAAGAGCTAAATAAGATTAACCACCTTTCTTAGTTTAATGACTCCCATGAATCCCATCCAAAGCTTATTAATGCACCTATAAAATCAAGAAATTTCTTGATTTTATAAACAGGAAGTGGGCCAAATGATCTAAAGAAAATAAAAGCAATAGCTATGAATTAAACGTCCTAATCTGAACAAAACTAATTCTAAGCAGCCACAGTGAGAACCATTATCCACTTATGGCTGAAGAAATATGTTAATGCTGCCAGTCCATTTTCATGACACTGTTACTTTAAAAGATCAAAAAGCAAAACGACATGCAGGTGACCCAGTGAAATGTGTGTTGAGATGTTTCATGACTTTTTTTTTTTTTTTCATCTCCATTTCCCTGGATGCAAAACACAAAAGTCCACCTCCACAGTGGAGTAAAACACAGACGCTCACACACACACACGCACGCACGCACGCACGCACGCACGCACGCACGCACGCACGCACGCACACACACACAAACACAAACACGCTCGCATAACAGGCTGCGTGGCAGCATTTCAGCTGATAGTACAACACATTTACGTGAGAGGCGCGGTTGCCACGGCAACAGATAAGCACGCCATGGCAACGTGCATATTTTGAGCGGTGGGTTATCAGAGCAGCTCACCAGAGCGATGACGGTGGCTCCGGCACCGGCCAACGCCACGATGTAGAGGTGGTAGGACAGGTAGAACTGAGAGGGAAAAAAAAAAGGATTTTAGGCAAGTTACACAAGAATAAATTGAAAAAAAAAGTGGAAAAAAAAATCACCCACTCACCTCGCTGGTGCTGCAAATGTCTGTCAGTGTGGTTCCACAAGCCTTCCCTGGTGTTGCGTTCAAGGGAATAACGCCTGCAGGATCAAAGAGACGAAACGTCACCAAACGACAAGAAGCTTTTTTTTTTTTTTTTTTTTTTGATTGAAAGTATTATGAATGAGGCTCAGAGAAAGATTAAAAGAAACAGGGCTGCTGCTGGAAAAATATGGGTCATCATTCTGAATGAATTTCCACCTCATTTCATCATAAAGGCTGAAAAATATCATTTATCAACGCTTTCTTGTTTCAGTCACAAAGAACTATAATCACTCTTCAGTTTTAGCAACTGCTGACAATAATTTGTCGCCTCCCACTAATTGGGGTTAATATTATGAAGCATATCCTTATCCTACTTCATGGTTCGGCCAGCTGTCTTTCAGATGTGGGTCAAATACTGTACATTGTTCCATCAAATGGTGAACCGTAGCACTACAAGATTGGATTCTCCGTACTTAAACTGCATTTTTTTCTTTTCTTTTCGTTTTTTTTTCCCCATCCTGCTGGTTTGAAAATCAGAGGCTTTCACTTCAGATGCTTCTCGCTGAGCTCCTTGATCAAAGGGAGTCGCTCTTCATCATCTTTGAAGAAACGTAGCCGTGCATGTTTTGCATTCGCTCTCTGAAGCTGCAAATGCAATATTCAGAAAGGAGATGAGTATAACATCCCGTGCTGCTCGAGAGTATTCCTTCCCCTGAACTTTTCACAGATGCTATTTTATGGGTCAAAACAAAATGGCGCTGTGTTGACGATTTTCAACACTTTAACCACCAGATATTGTATCTTTTGACTCATCGTTCGTTGTAAAATAATTTAAGCTCAGTCAAATTGGATGGGGAGTGTTTGTTTCAAGTGTTTGTTTTTTTTAGCACCAAAACGGAGTGTTTGAGGTTAGCACTGGCATGTTTTGCTGTGGAGAAGGTGTCATCAAGGGGATGCGCAGTGTTAGCCTTCCTCCACATATTGTGTTTTGCAAGTTGGCTAAAAGGTTTGCACATGTTTGCAGTGCCCTTTATATGGTGCAAACAATGCTTTCTTTCTACAGTGGCTCCTCCAGAAATATTAAAAATCTTCCTAATTACTTCTCTGATTATCGTTTTCCTTGACTGCCTTGTTATTGTCGGAGGGCGGCCATATTTGCAGCCGTTCCATTCTCAGATGATGGGTTGACGATACTGGTTTTTTGTTAGGTGGCAAGGTTCGTTGGTACGTTGGCAAGGTTCTGAGAGCCGGAGTTTAGGAGGTTAAAGCTACAAAGGCAGGACATTCAGTCTTAAATGGAAGCATTGTCCCTTTGTTTTTATTTCAAAAGCATGCTTTCGTAACCCCGCTACCCCTCGGGTTTGGCTCCAGCCTGCTTGATACTACGTAACTGTAATGAAAATCTGTCATCTTTAATTAGATCAAAAGGGCAAACCTCAGCTGGAGCATTAAGATTCTCTTAACCCCTTTATTTCATCCTGAAAGTCAGTTTTTACCTTTGAAATCTTGACAAAGACATGCAAATAAGCAACAAAAAACTCCGTCGGGATGCAATCGAGGCATAAAAAGACTCTTGAATTCGCAGCTCTGCCCTCCTCCAAATGCCACCCTGGGGTGACCACCCATAACAACCAACCCTCCCAGAGAACCAGAGTGAGAATAAAAGCCTCAGTGACTCACCGTACTGCCTGACATCCACACAGATGGAGTCAGGATACGTGATGTTGGAGTCTGGAGATCTCATGGCGGCGCAGGTGTTCCACATGTTAAAGAAGAGGAAAACCGGGATCGCCGTGAAGCAGAAGATGGCGATAAACACCAGAGCGAAGATGTAGGTCAGGAACATGAACTGAACCGAGGGAAGGAAGAGGAGGCAGAAGATGGGATATTATTTATTACGTTGTGATGCACTGAAGAATTAGGCTCATGATATTTACTTAAAGTCCTCACCATCCAACCACCCGTGCATCACATTTTGCTTCCATGCTAATGTAACTGGACATCTGCAGTAATTAACTTAATCAGACAAGGAAGGACAAACTGTGCCAAAGAAACCCTGAAGGCTGAAGCATGAATCAAGAATCTAGCTTAAGAGTGCACGATTAGAAACATCTCCACATCTTTGTGCCACCATAGCGACTTTGTATTCTAAAGAACAAAATGGAAGCAGCTACGTCTCATTTATTGGCTTTAACATACGAAGGCAGTGATGCAGCGTCCACAGATGGTTGTCTTAAAGTCACTCTGCAGCTCCTTCTTGATGGTGCTGGTAGTGTAGAAGCCCTCGCCCAGCAGGAGGATGGCGTAGACGAAGAACAAGGAGGCAATGCCGTAGATGATGTACTGAAAGATCTGGATCCTGGACATGGGAAACAAACGATAACGTCAAGTTTATTTCTGCTTTGCACAAGTTTTAAGTCTTTGCTGATTGATATTATTATTGGTTATGCAGGTCTGGATGTTTGGGTACATGAAACATCATTTTTCAAAGCGGATTGTCTAAACAGGAAGTGAATACCATAAGGATGATGGACTTGTGTAAATCAGACAATAACAGGAAATTGTCAGTGGATCAGATGGATGAACTGAGAATATTCATGACAAAGATCATCTATGCAGGAAATGGGGATGATCTCCATGGAAGGAAAACGAAAAAAAAAAAAAAAATTCTGCCACAGGATTATGGATTGGATTCTTGGTGTTAAAAGGAAGGAAAAACCCAAAGCTGAGGGAAGAGGATGCATAGGACTCACACAGCGGCGAGGGTGGCGTGGTCACTGGTGATCCTGGAGAAGTGGTTCTCCAGCATGGTCAGAGTGCCGGTCAGCGCCACGTGGCCGCAGCCGCAGAACAGGGCCACGCCCGAGAAGCAGAGGATGGTGGCCACCAGCGAGGCGTAGGGTACCCCGCCCAGACACTTGATGCAGCACTCGAAGCATCCTGCAGAGGGAAACGAAGAGTGAGGTTGTTTCCACTTTTCCTGTTGCATTTAGCCACGAGAAAGCTCACAGCTAAGAAAGCATTAAAGAGGATCTGAGAACAAAGAATTTAGGTCAGATATGAAAGAAGGCAGATGGGGGGGGGGGGGAAAAAAAACCCCACACCGGCCGGGTTTTTAAAAAAAAAAACAAAGGGAGCAGGCTGACATCCTATAGTGACTTGCTTAGCTCTGCTGACGACACTCGCTGCAAAACTCGATGGCCTTTTTTATCCTCTGCATCAGACATGTTGAGCATCTTTCACAGCGAGTTGGAGTGCTGAATTTTGCACCACCTACAAAAACTCTCTGTGTAACATTTTTTTTTCTTTTCTCTTCAAGAATGCCTCATAATCTGAGCTAGAGTGATCAAATGCATGAACCACGCTCTGGTTTTCAGGTAAAAACAAAAACCAGAGCGTGGATGTTCTTTTTTTTATCTTTTTTTTTTTTTAGATTGAAGTAAATGTGTGAATTTGCCAGTAGATCTTCCCAAAGGTTGATGAAAAATGAAAAAACCCTCTCTTCTGTTTTGGGATGCTGAATAAGTACATTTTGTTTTCAGCTTCCTGCATGAGGTCTACAGGTGCTGCAGATGCATCCTGCTCTAGAATCCCACCCCCTCCAAAAAAAGCTGGAACAAAAGGCACCGAATTACAAGAGCTGCATGTTATACAACATGATAAAAATAACTCCTGTGGCAAAGCAGGAAGTTACTCTGGGAGTAAAAAAGACAAAATGAACCGTCTTGTGTGGCTGCGTTGCTGTTTCCATGACAGCCTGCTCCAGTTGGCACCACTAGCTGATGTTCACAAGTCGGCACGGCTTTTGGTGCCGACTGAACCCACCGCGCATCCTCTGTGTGGCTCTCCACGCACATTATGATCTGTTCTGACACGCTCCCCCCAATCGCCAACGAATAACGCACTCGGTGGCAGTCGTGGCTCTTCGTGATGTCTACTCTACACGACAGCTGGTCTCGTGAAAACATTGTGGTAATGCGCATGCGATGTTACGTTTCTTATAAATCCGCCATACCTGTAGAAGTTTCATTTTGTGTGTTTTATTTCTCAGAAGTTTACGGTAAATAAAATAAATAAATAAAATAAAATAAAATAAGAAAAATCTAGTTATTTCCTCGCAGTGTCCAGAAAGAGGTGTTGTTCTGCTTGTTGCCTAACACAGCTTCGGTCAGCATTCATGTGTGTTTTTTTTTTAGGATATACTCTGTGCAGTTTTCTAATGAAGTATTAAAATATTAAAAAGGTAGATTAGCTATAGGTACAAAATATCCCGCGGGAGTCCAAATTTGTAGTCAAACAGTATTTGTAGTAATAGTGAGACTAAATGGGAATGTCTTGTTTACAGTATGGTAACGATATTGGAAACAGCAAAAGTCATTTATGTTAATATGTTTGATTAACATAGCAGCTTAATTAAATAAAATTTACTGTAAACTTCTGAGAAACAAAACAAACAATGAAACTTCTACAGGTATGACGGATTTATAAGAAATCTGCTGAGTAAGCAGTATGTGACGTAACATCGATGTGCGCATGCGCATTACCACAAGGTATGCTGGATTTACGGGTATGACGACAGACAGTCAGACCCGCTGACGGCTTTTGTCAGCGTGGACCTTCATCGGTTCACTGTGACATCTGATGACAGAAGCGTAAAAAAAAATCAAATAAAAGTACAACTTCAAGATTAGCTTTCAGCATCAAACGCAACAGAAATCCTCAGAGAAAGTCTGGATTTAAATGTTGAGCCGCGGTAGAGTTGACGGCCTGCTGGCGGTTGCTATTGATGGGTTTAAAAGAGCCAGTTGATTTAAGCATCCCCAAGGGAAGCAATAGCAATCTATAACAACACTATACAAACTAAATGGAGATTTTTTTTCCCACAGTTATTATCACCCCTGCTAAAGACGGTAATTTGAATAAATGTATTAAATAGGGAATAAAATCTCTCTAATATTACTGATACTGCAAATATTGAATATTAGAATTTTTTTAAATATTTTTTTTACTTTAGTTGCTGATCTAAGACTTCCTGTTACTCCAGGGGGGAAATATTAAGTCAATAATATTTCAATAATATGGTCAATTTACTACTTTATTTGTTTTTTCTAAAACAAAAAGTTGTTCCGGCTCCCAGAGTGTAAGCGTAGTTTACATCAAACAGTTTTGATACATTTTTTCCACATCCAGATAAGAAGTCTGGTCAAAGTTGATTCAAGAAGTTTGGGTCATGATAAAAGCTCATCCTTAAATCTGAAGAAGCATCATCTTCCTCCAGCCTTACGTAACCCAGCGGAGGCCCTTTACATAACAGACCCAAATCCTATTAATGTTAATGAAGGAAGCGCGCTGGTGTAGGAGTCCAGCTGATGAAGCTGGACGGCTGGACCGAGAAGTGGGCCGCGGCCTCTCTGGCTCACCGGTCAGCACAGTGACGGGTCCTCAAATCTGCTCTGAAACATCACCCCTCATCGAGTAAAATTTGAGTGTTTTATTTTGAAACAAGACGAAAACAAAAGGAAATCCTTCCTTTTGAATGCAAATGAAGAATTTCCAACTTTATCTTCCGTCGTGGATGCGAGTAATCTGACAAGATGGGAGCCTTTTTAGGACAAATCCCACGCCTTCGTGCGAGCTATTTAAGGGGTTTATTGTTTCTGCTTTTAGCTCCGTCTTCTCTCCCCTGGTTCCACGCTGCTTCATGGATGAATTCACAGGTTCCTCTTGAACGACGGAGCCGACTCTCCCCTCTATCCGGTCCCTCCACCCCCCCGGCTACGACTGCCAGCCTCAGTTTAAAAGTGCGCTAATGGGAAGCAGACCGGCCGGAGTTGTCAGCTCCAGCCGGCCCTAATGGAAATCAATGGGCTATTCATTAGAGCAGAATTTAGGTGACACACCAAGGCTGGCCTATCTGCCTCGTTTTATACCTCGCTGCCTCTGTCTTCGCTCTACTGTCTCCTTTTCTTTGAAATATGGCTGCTTGTCGCCGTCGTGCTCTATTAAGCCAGCTGGAGTTAATCACAAAGGCACTATGTTACACTCCTGTTATGTTATGGTGTCATAGATCATTTTAAATAACTTTTGGCGGGTCCCCACTGAAGGATTTCACCTTTCTGTTCACGTTAGGAGGCAGAGTGGCCCAGAATTTGACAGCCGATAAGCGAAATTAGAGAGTATTGGGACAGTTTTCCCGCTTAAATGCCGACCTCAATTTGTGGCTGACAGCTAAGCGAAACTGTTCTTGCTTTCATCGCCTTTGCATGGGCAGCTCCGAAACAAAAGGGCGATAAAATGAGAAAGAAAACCATGAAAGAAGAGGGAATGTGCAGAACGACTCGGAACAAGTGAGGAGAAGGAGGTGAGAGGGGAAAAAGGCAGAGCGAGAAAAGGATGGGGAAAGCGTTTTCTTGGCCCCGGGGCCGGCGAACGACAGTTGCCATAGCAACGTGTTACCCACGACCCACTTCAGTCCCTCGCAGACGCTTCACTCCGCCTTCACGCGCGAGCACAACCCAAAGATTGGCGTGAAGCAGCAGCTGAAGCTGAAGCTGCGGAGTGGTGGTCGGTTCATCTATTCATGTTTTCTGATCTGATTCAAATCGAAATTATGTGAATGGAGAAAACATGAAACTTAAAAATATCAGCTTATGTCTCAGACTCAATCCTTTAGGTATCCTAGTTACATTTTATACCTTTAGTTTTATATATATATATATATATATATATATATATATATATATATATTCAGCTGAATGGATGTTTACAGTAAATATTTTTAGCAATATGTTTGCACATAATATGTTTTTACAGTTACTTTCTGATCACGTGGGGTCGACTTGTTCTTGGGTCAAGTATTTGGAACCATATTGTTTTTTTTTGTTGTTGTTGCCAGATCTTTGTTTTTAAATTTAGTTTGGTTCATAATTACAAAACCTGTCACAAGAATCGGCCTGCTTTCAGATTCCTGAGATTGAATGTGAGTCCTCTTTCCAACTTACTAATCATTTATGATAATAAATTCATAATTTTTCTATTTCTCATTGTAAATAGATCATAAAAGCTTTAATTCCTGCTTCCTTTTCTAACTAATAGACAGCTCTCTTTCCTGATTCTTCATCTTCATCCTTGTTTTTTCCCCACGTTCCCATTTTTCCGCCTTTATATTTAAATCTGTGCCTTCCTATTAGACTGGTGAGCGTACTCAGGCACTGTGACTGAATAAATAATGCCTCGCAGGCCGGAGATGCGCTTGCAAACAGAACCTGTCACCGATTGCTGACATCTTTTGTGATTACGCTTCGCATTCTGTCAATCACCCGACACCCACGGTATGAAATAATCCCTCAAATGCATGTCGCCTTACAAACTTCATTGTCAGAGGAATTGAATTTGGAGCATTTGTTAGAAAAAAAATGGCTTCCAAGTAAGTAGATGCACAGGAAAAAAAAAAAAAAGAAAAACTGGGTAAACAGTGTTATCAAGGCGCGGTGTCTGGATAATATTGGCTGAATAATGTGCTGTTTTTTCTGGCTACACAGATTTCATTGTTGTAATGCCTGCAAATCCTAAATACAGGATAAACTCAAACGATGAGGCGATTATTTCCACAGTTATGACTCTTCCTACTATCGTTCCAGTTAACATTGTAGTTCTTTGCTTTTATTTTAAAATATAATACATTAAAGTTTAACTTAAATTTATGTAGGAAGGAAGGATAATGAATGGGGAAAAAAATTACGTACATGGGGCACAAGAAGTAAAAGAAGAACAAAATGTGCAAACATTTTTCTATATTTTCCTAGACCTAGAAAATACTGGAAACAAATCTCCAAGGTTTAGGGACGGTAGAGGAATCCCGTTTAAATATCTTCCTCCAATCCAGATACGCAGCGCGATTATCTCCAACTGGTAGTGCGCGCAGTACCTCTGCCAGAAATAACAGCCTTAATAAAGCTTTCTGAATATTTCAGTGACCGATCTGGTCCCTTCCCAGACCCCCCCGCTGCCTGCGGCTCCATTCAGATCTCAGAAACACTGTATTCAATATGGTAATATCCTCAGAGTGCATCATGGGTAGATCCCCACGAGGGAAGAGGAGGACCTCGGAGTGGGAAACAGAGAACAAAAGGTGTGGGATAAATGGCTGCGTCACATCGAGATGAAAACAAGGTCCCATCTGCTTCACAGAGGCCGACCGCAGACACAACAACACAAAATCATTGACGCGAGCGCTGGAGATTTCACTTTAGGTCAGGGATAAACGTCCGTCTCAGACTTAATGACCATCACATAAAAAAGGAGCAAAAAAAAAAAAAATTAAGATAAATATACCAGAAATATATATATTTTTAACAAATGTTCACATCTGAACAGAGTTGTGTACATTTTGAGAGGCACTTTAGATTATAATATAAGATGCTTTCTTACGTGGCGATTGCCATGTAAGAAAGATGTCACAGTGTGACATCATCTCTGCTTCGAATATAAATAACTATTGAGAACTAATGACAGGAAGATCAGAAAGAAAATCGGTAATCAGCCACAAATGTCCCATTTGTTGATTTTTCAGAATTTCTCTTTAACCCTAAAAGGTTCAGTAGATAATTAGCTTCTTTTAACGCAGTATTTTGGACAAACTGTGTGCATTTCAGCTAGATGGAGTCCTATATTTCATATTTTAAGCCATAGAAATGTAGAAAATAAACAGGATTACAAATTCTGTANAAAAAAAAAATAAAATAAATATATATATATATATATATATATATATATATATATATATATTCTGAAGATGTCACAAACCTGTCAAAGCGGTTTTCCAAACACATAATGTTGGTAATGTTTTCAATAATGGTGGCTGAGGCTTAAGAGAATATAGCCATCACTGTTCTCAAAATGTTGTTGTTTTTCATTCTTTTTTTTTTTTTTGTTCTATTTTGTGGCAACACGAAACTGACCCTAATCTGCTGTTTGTGAGAAACCCGCTGCTGTTTATGCAGTGTTATGCAGGTCAGAGGGCCAGCATGTGGCCAGGCGTAACCGAGATTGATGGCCGGAATGTGCCTTTAAATCCCGTTCGCGAATCTCTGCGTGGGGATCAATACACTTATGCTGCAGATTAGAGAAATATTTCTTGCTAATGCTGTTTTACATCTAAATTAGCACACATTTGTGTGTTTTTAATAGACTGGAAAACCCACTGAATCAAGCAATTACCATCCTGCCTAGATCACAGAGTCCCTTTTTTCAGTTAAATGAGTCAATTAATTGAACTGAAAACTATGTATGGCACTAATACTGTTAAAAACAACTCATTACCAGTGGCAAAAACTAGATAAAATATCAGAAATATTAGGAAACAAGCACCTGGCTTGAAAACCATTTGCTTATAAAAACCCTGCAATACAATCCCAAGTACAAAGCAAAGAGCAGAGGCAACACTTTTAGTCCCACCAAAATGTAAAATGGCCCCTCTGGCTACAAGTGCTGTGCTTTAGTGGTTACACAACCAACTTGGCTAATGTCACTTTTTCTCCAAGAAGTCAAAGAAGTCATCTCTTTCTTCCACCCCTCCTCCCAGTTCTCCCGATGAGATTATGGAGATTTGGTTTCCAGCTGCAGATGAGCACTTTGTATGTGAGAGTGTGTGTGTGAAGTGTGTGGCCTAAACCACAATGTGAGTGTGTGCACAAAGTCTGTTGTTTGGTAGCACAAAGCCGCTCCCTGCGGAGGCTTCCTTATGATTACAGAAACACAGCAATGCTCCGAAATCTAGGAAAAAAAAATGTAGAAAATGCTTCTGGTTTGTGTTCAGGAGATTGTGATTTCTGTTGTGTATTGGCAATATGTATATTTCCAATGCATAGTCCTGCAACGTTTCCACATTGATTTAAGTACATACTTGTAAACAAAGTGACATTGAAGATTACATAAGTCGTCTAATGGAGTTTAGACCGGTTTGTACACAAACAGACTTGGTGACTGGCATCGTTTAACTCATAGTCCTCTACTTTAGGTCAATCATCCTTCTTATAAGCGACTCTCCAACTTATTCTGGGGGATCCTACGGCCTTCATTGGCAAACTTAGTCTTTTTCTTATCAGGGCTACCAGGAAGCTACCTGATCGAACCGTTTTGCAGCTGTCCAATCACCTCCCTGAGATGATTGATCTTTTGAAGGCTGAGTCTAGCCACTCTATAGAGAAAGCTTGTTGGAGTCGCTTGTGTCCAGAGTCTTGTTCTTTCAGTCATAATTCAGAATGTACACAGTTGGGTGCATCAACAGCTTTGCTTTCTAGCTCAGCTCTTTCATCGTCACAATAAATTGTGATAGCAGTGGCTAAATTACTGCAGACCAGGCGACCCGATGTGTTTATCCATCTCCCATTCAATGACCAAGGCACTACAGCATATTTCAACACCAGTCAGTAGGCCTTGTTGACTCCACATTGCTGAATGGTCTCAGATTGGCTCACCTGAAACCTGTTTTTCTGTTTTTATATTCTACTTTGGCTAAGATAGCAAAATGGGGCAAAACCAAACAAAACAAAGAAATACAGCACCGTAATATTCAGAGCACACTACACATCCCGCACAGTGACTCATCAACGTCCATTTCAGCCAGTGATGTCAAGTGTTAATCAGCATCAGGCATTTTATGGGCTCTGGGTGAGAGCAGCAGATTGGGCATCAGTAGGTGATGGAAGACGGCCAGATGAGGCTGGCATTAGTCAGGAACAAGACCTGCTGGGCCAACCTGCCACTTGCTGCTATTCATATACCAACGGTAGACTCCACTGCAGCGTAATCTCGCACACGTTAGAGATGCCATTCTTATGGCAGGCGAGAAGTGTTAGCTTCCTGTAGTCTGACCGCAGTGATTGCATGTCAAACTCCTGAAATGTGTTTGGTTTACAGGCTGAATGGGCGAGTTTGGTTTGATATAAGGCTGCAGCTGTTTGCCAGTCTGCCTGGATCAGATGTGAAAAGTCTGTTTTTACCCATCAGTTTCAGTGTTGGACACCATTCCTTGTGATTAGTTTAATTTTCCATTACAGGTTTTATATATATATATTTTTTTAATTATTATATAAAAAAGAGAAATGTTAAACAGGGCTGCAGGGTTCTGCACTGGTTGGCACTGTTGCCTAGCAGCAAGAAGGTCCTTGTTTCCAAATCAAGGCTCTTTCTCCGTTTATCCATCCAGTTCTATCTATTCATCCATTCATTCATCCATATTTTCCATGTAAAGCCTGACAACAGTGGAAATATTGCCATGAATTTATTGTAAATGTTTATTTATATTCAGCATTTTGAGTAAAAAGACTAAAAATGGAGCAAGAACTCTAAAAATGTCAAGAGTTTGACATTAAAACCATATGAACAGAAGCAGTTCAGATGGTGAACTGTTCTAAACATATAAAAGTTTAGATTCTTTTGTATGTTCTTTATTCATTTTAAACCTTTCACCAAAGAGCATTCAACTTTATTCAGCTCAAGTACAAAACACTGCATTGTTTCACCCTCGCTACTTCTGTCAAACGTAATTGGGACCCAGATTG